TAAGGTAGGAATTACAGTGGTTTTCTACTTTAGACTTTGCGACATTTAGCATGGATGGCTGGTGTCTTTTCTGCAGATTGCCGAGAGCTGTGTTCTCGATTGTAGCGTTGCAGTACAACATTAAAGGCAAGGAGTGAGCAATTTAGCATGAGAAAGGTAGTTTACAGGCGCAGATGGAAAGCCTCTCTCTCAGCCCTCAACTGGACGAAGGGGCAGGTGTTTCTTTGTAGGGCCAAGTATAACAAGAACAGCTTTCATCCATTAAAGTAGAACTTAGGTTCACAAATGATCAAAGCTGGAAATTCTTAGTGGAATACAATGCGCTCAAACTCGTCTTTCCTGAAACCAAAAGTGACATTTGCATGTTTGTGCCCAGCGAACTTTTATTGTCTTCTTATCTTTGAACTGTACGTGTAGAGTCTGGATTCCTGGAAGTGAGGGTTAGACTTACTGTACACTCTGAGCCTCTCATGACGTTGGAGAGCGATCTGGAAGAATACTGCAGCATTGCAAAACAAGAGGTTTGCATGTCTTGTTCTCCAACTTAGCAGGAACAAACACAATTAACTAAGTGTGAAAGATCTCAATCTTAAAAAAGTTAATCTCGGGATCTTCACACATGAAGGCTTCACACAAAATAGAAGACATTTTTGATGTCTTGAAGACCTTTCGGAAAGTATTTTTTCACAAATGCAACTAAACTGCATTAGCATGGGTACCGCTAACATTTTGAACTAATTCAGGCACCCAGAACCCAAATCCAAACATCTGCAGCACACACTATCTATTTCTTTGCTCACTGACACATAATTATATACACAGCAACTAATTACACTCCTGTGAAAATGAGTCCATTATTCACTAAACATTTCCCACAGGTCTCTACCAATCATGGCCTCCTAATAATCCCCATCTCTGAACTGGCTTCATCACTCTGCTCTGGGACATTGGTGGTGGCGGTGGGATTTCCCATTACCTGTAAAATGCTTTGATTGGAATATCTAGAAAAACAATATATATTGGATATTATATTAAATATATTATTTAATATTATTTTTATTGTAATAAGAACAACAACAACAACAATAATATGTTCCTCTAAGGATTATTGTTCTGAATACTCCTATGTAGTCCACGTGTCTTAGCTGTTTTGTTGTGGATTGTTGGCTATGGCTCACCGATCGCCCCCCTCTTTCCTTACAGGTTTTTAATCCCGGGGAAATGGCGAGCTTCGAGGACGCCGAGACCGAGGAGACCCTCACCTGCCTGCGCATCCAGGTTTACCACCCCCACCAGAGCGCCAAGGACGTGTTCCGCCACCTGCAGTTCCACAGGAAGCTGAGGCACCGGGCGGAGGACACCGTGCTGTTCGGCCGCGACGCCAAGGCCTGCGACGTCTCGTTCTACGACACCCGCGTCTCCCGCAGTCAGTTTGCCCTCCAGGCCTTCCGGGCCTTCGAGCGCTCCGAGCTGTGCTTCGAAATCAAGCACGTCAGCAAGAGGGGCAGCATGGCGGTCAACGGCCTGCCGCTGCAGCACCTCCACAAGGTGGAGCTGCCCGAGAAGGCCCTGGTCAGGTTCTCGGACTTCCAGCTCCTGATCCTCAAGGAACCCGGGGAGTCCCGGGACAGCTTCGAGATCGTGTTCGAGCCCTGCGCGGCGCCCCCCTGCCAGGAGGTCGGCGAGGGCGTGCCCTGCGGGAGCCCCGTGGTCGACAGCGGCTTCCACAGCCAAGAGTGCGCGGTTTCGGCCAGCGTCTCCCTCCGGGGGCCCCTGGAGAACGACGAGAGGATGCTCATTAAGTGAGAGCTGGAACGACTGTGCGGGGCCGAACGACTGTGAGTTAGATTTAACATACCCCACACCCCACACCCCACACCCCACACACAGTCATCCTCTCTTCTGTTCCCAGGAAGCCGCAGAACTTAGATGAGTCTCAACCGGTTCACAACCTACGAATTTGGAAATGGTCGTAAATTAAAACCATTCCGTTCGGCCATCCATCCGTTTTCTAACCTCTTCGCCCCGTGCAGGGGTGGAGGGGGAGCCGGAGCCTATCCCAGCATGCAACAGGCACAAGGCAGGGTACACCCTGGACGGGACGCCAGTCCATCGCAGGGCACACACACACACACGCCAGGGCCACTTTTCCCAGAAGCCAGTTGACCCACCAGCATGTTTTGAGACTTCAGGAGGAATCCGGAGCACCTGGAGGAAACTCATGTGAACTGGAAGGAGAACATGCAGACTCCACCCAGACATCACTTTTTCTTCGAGCAGAGCTTTTTGTTCTTAGAATATTTTTTATAGCGGCACCTGTATTTTGTAGCGAAGGCTAACATTGTGTAAAAATATTGTTAAAACAGACTGGTACATCTGTGGCTGCGACTCGATCAACAGGGAGAGATTGTCGCCGTTTCAAAACAATTTTCTTTGAAGAGCGGTATAATAGGGATGTGTTGGCATGTTTTCTTTTGTTTTCAAAATGAGCAAAACCCGACAAACCGATGCTGAAAGGATGAAACAAAGTTTTGTCAAGGCCTGTCAATGCCACAAGAAAACGAAAAGAATATTCAGAACTGGAACAATCCAGCCACTGTTTCAAATTCTTACGTGACAAGTTGTTTTTATTTAAATCATCAGTATTTATAATGTTTTACGATCTTTCACTATTCCAAACATTTTTTTTTTACACTGTCTTGTATCACAGTATATTATGTGAGATTTTGAACACCCTAAAAATACAGCTATGGCTGTTACTGTATTTTTCTGCTCTTAAACATTAATCCAATTGTATTGTTGTACCAATTGTGGCCTAAATCTCAAAAAACCTGGAGTTTCAGACTGCGGACTTGTACATTTTCTGATCCTGAAATGTGCATATAAAATGTTTTAAACAGACATCCGAAAATTGGCATTAACGATCTCCTACGACTGAATAAAACAGTTGAAATAAATGGCCAAAAAGACAAAAGAGTTACAATGTAGGGAACGGTATTGTGGTATGGACCGTCTAGGCTGAACCCGTGAAAGAGATTCTCTGAACAAAAACCAAACAGTTCCAGCGGGATGAATTGAGACTGTTGGTTCTTGTGCTGCCCTGTTCCTCTGGGGCAAAATAACCAAGTAAAGGTTAAAAATATCTACAATGAAAGAACTACTAATGTTCCAGTGTATTAGGCAAGTTTCTGTTTTAAAACAAAAGTCAATTCAAAGGTTACAGGACCACAACCCAACATGTGTTTCATGCTGAAGTGTAGTTTTCTTCAGCGTGTTAAGCAGTGAATACTAAAAATGTTCAACGTGATCCCTGTGTCTCTGCTGACAGTTCTCGAATTACAGTAATGCTAATGTATACTGTACATACTTTCTCGATTGTTTATCTCTAGTACAGTATGTATGTTTTATTGACTATTTTTATACAGACTGTGAAATGAATCAAGTGTCCTCAGTACGGTTTGAGGTTAACTGCAATCCTGAAATTCTTTCTTTTGAATGGGTTCTCAGAAAGCCTCATTATTAAAGATTTTTATAGATAGAGACGAGTGTTAGTGTGAGTGTTTTTTTTTTTACCGGTCTGTGCAATCAGTTGTGTAACAAGGAATAAAATAACCTTAGAAGCCAAGGGCAAAGGGGCAGTTTGTAAAGTTTGCACTGAAGAGAAGCTGTCTGACACTCTTATAAGGATATTTTAAAAAATAGACTGAACATCATGCAAAATGCATCCCCTGTAAGTGCTGCAAATTCACAGGTTTAATACTGAACAGGAACAGCATGCTGTAAGTCAGTTCACTGTGCTGGTTATGTCCAGTAGGGCTACTGTGAATGTCCCAGGCCTGTCATGCACAGCTCATGAAAGGACTTATTAGTATTTCAATACCAACTTGTAAACTGAAATGGAAGCGCCCAGAGGAAACCCGCGTGAACACAGGGAGAACATACAGCACCGACTCCAGGTTCAGCAGTTCATGAACTAATGGTCTTCTGGGAAATGTAGTTCAAAATACTGCACCACAGGTTTGGTCTGAATACTATATATAATAAGGATATTATGTTACTGTATATGATTATGAGTGATTCCTGGTCTTGGAGAATTGTTACATATATATTGATATATGGACCAAATGAGATTTGGGAAGAGACTTGATTCAGGTGTATAAGCTACTAAGGGGTAGTATACTAAAATTTAGAATGGAGAAGAGGAGAAGCTACTTAAAACAAAGAGTGGTAGATGACTCTTCCCAGTCGGGTGGTTGAGGAGTTTTGAGTAACGGCTCAACCGAGCTAACCGCATGAGTAAGATGGCTTGACTTTTGCATCTCACATTTGTATCTGTTTCATCACACAAAGATAAACTTCAGCATGGAGTCAGCACGATCGGTCTTCCAAAACGAACGATCGATAAACGTGCCCACAAGCTGAAGGAAATGAAGGGAGGAAGGCAAACGAGAATCAAAGAGCTCAGACTGGTGGATGTCAAGGAGACTTTGCTGAGTTAGAAGAGGTTAATCTCCAGTCTTGAGATATACAAGAAACTGAGACCTCAGCTTATACATGCTTGCTAGAATTGTAGGGAAACTCCTCGACAGAACATTACTGAAGAGCCAGCTTGTGGCACCTGACCAGCAGAATAAAACTGGAGCTGTTACTGACTGTGTGCAAAAACCTGGAAACAACCAGGGAGTTTCCACCTCCAGGGAATCAGGCTGGAGTTTCCAGCGAGACATGAGTAGAGCTTGATCTGGGAAGCTGCCAAGTGGTCAGGCATTCTGAAAGAGCAGAGCTGCAGTACACACAGGCAGCTGAGAAACAAGAACATGCCTGAGGTCCCAGGTTGAAACGTAAAGAGGGAAAATGATCCTACTTTGGGGACAAATCCGAAATACCTGCAGAGAATACCTACAAATATGAATCTTTCTTTTGTTTAGGATGCCATTAGGATGCCAAGTCACCTGTCCCTCCTCTGACAGAGACAGGGGGACAGGAAGAGGGGGAGGTCACCAGTCTTATATATTAGTAGCAATTATCTAACCCAGTGGTTCTCAAACTTTTTGGACCAAGTACCACCCCTATTCCAACCAAATCATCCAAGTACCACCTACAAGTCATCATCTCATAGGAACCCCAGAAATTCTCAATGACCAACATGAGCGCGCGTGCACACACTCACATACACATATAATAAATATAATAATAATAAACTTTGTTTGATATATTAAGATATGGTTTCTCAAAGTGTTTTACAGGAAAAAAAACAACAACATAAAAATAAAAAAGCACCATTTCAGTGAGAGGGGTGAGCCTGTTTAGTCGAGCAAAGCAGATGTGAATTAATTTTTCGAGCCTTGATACAATTCACAACAGTTTAACATCGTCAGGCATTGTCTTGACGGCAAAGGTCTCGCGGTGGATGTTGCAATGAAACCATTAACTTCTCTAATTCGTGCAACTACACCGCTGTGTCGGCTTGTCATTGCTCCAGCACCGTCTGTACAAACTCAGACACATTTTATCCAGTCGATGCCATTCTCTTCGATAAATTCATTCAGAAGCTGAAATACGTGCTCTCCTGCAGTTCCTGTTGGTAGCGGCTTACAGAACAGAAAGTCCTCACGGGACGTACCCTCAAACTCGTATCTAACATAAACGAGCAAATTGGCCAAATCGACTACAGACTCATCTAATTGCAGTGAAAAACATCTGCTCATCTTAACGCGCGCTGTCAGCGTACTTTTGATATAATCCTTCATTTCAATAATTCTATGAATGACTGTGTCTTTCATGGGGAGCAGCAGGTCGAGCTGTTCATCAGCTTTTTCTGCACACAAAATAGTGTGGGGCTTACATGCTTTAGCAATCCGCAAGCTTGCATTTTTCCACATTTCCGTTTTTATTTCAGTGTTTATTTTAAGTATTTATTTCATGCGCATGGGAGAGAAACACAGAGACGCTCGGTGTATTTTTCTCAAATTTACTTAGAACAGTTCTTAAATATTTTTCTGTTATTTTTCACGCTTTCCTGTGCTCACAAGATTACCAGCGTTCGTAGCACGCATTTCTATGCATTCCTGTGTTTACAACGTTGGCATTGTTCCAAAATCACGCACATTCTCCTTTTTCCCTATTTGCTAGAGATACAGTAGCTTTTTTTAAATACAATTGGTCACTTGCGTCCATAGCACACATTCCTATAGAGTGGTATAGAATTACAGAGTATCTCTTGTGTCCACTGAAGTATAAGCGCGCACTGTATCGTAGTATGTAGGCTGTGTATTCGACACGTATAAAAATACAAAATATGAAAACCCGTCCCGATTTTTTTCAGCGCACACAACACAGTTCCAGGGTCATTTGGCGTACCACCTGGCGGCAAGCCACGTACCACTGCAGGTACGCGTACCACAGTTTGAGAACCACTGATCTAACCTACCACGCAAATGCTGTTTGGCCAGGGATCCTAACTATAGCCCAAACTCCAATGGAGAAGGCAGCAAACTCCGTTAGGAAGAGCATAGTGCTTCATCACAATGGTTTGCTTTGACTTCACTGGAGGTAGAGCGTATTGAATTTGACAGTTTCTGGATGAATGAGGCACCATATCACAGTTTATAGTGATATCCAGGCAGGGCTCTGCGATCTGGATGAACTGCATTTCAAATGGATAGGATGAACAAGAGCTGACTGTCGCAAACCACTGACATTGCTCAGCGATGCACTTGGCCCATAAATGTAACATGCACACCATTTGACCTCTTTACAATAATAAGTTTCAATTGCACTGTGTGCGATACGGGAGATCTCAGAGAGATTTTGAAGTAATGGAATTCAGTTGTGGGTGATTGAAGACCTTTGTCTACATGTCTGCTGGAAAATATGCAGTTTGTAGGGGTGAACCGCATCTGATTTCCTTTAAAGGTCCTCATTATTTATCAAGACTGCTCAGAAAATGGTCTAGCAAAATGGTTTTTAGTCTTCCTTTCCTAGCCTACTGCGCCTTTAGACCCTTTTGAAGTTATTTTTGAACACCCTCTCATATTGTCAGTGACCTAGATTCTTCGCGCTATCAGGCTGTCCAGTGGCTTTGTGCTGTGATCCTCAGTGGACTCTTGGTAATCTTTGAGGTTAGCAGACAGGACATTGTCTGGCCAAGTCACAGAACTGCCTCTCCTGTGCATATGTCGATGCACAAGGATGTGGGTAACCAGAAGCTTTCTGTAGAAGTGTCAGAATTAGATTTTGACCACATGTCAACTATACGCCACTGCTAAACTAGAGCATTTCCGTTCTATTCAAAAAGAGGGGAAGCAGAGTGCAGAAAACCTTTAAGATCAAGATCTCCCTGAAGCTTCACTCTGCAGTTTTCTTTTGAGCTTCTGACGTGGTGCTTGTTTCAGGTAAGTCAGAACACGACCACTCCTGGAGTAATTCGATCTGCACACAAATATCTTTATGGCTCTGTTTGCTCTTAAGAACCAAATGGCGCTGATCTGAAGCAGCGGAGCTGTAGTTTGTACCAGATCAGTCTCTTCTGCAAACCTGTCAATTCATCTTTCAAATGGATGCATTCTTTCGTTTTCAGAAATTGGCTGTTAATATTGGGCCCCATGCTTAAATATCCTCTAAATGTGTGTAATTTGCATTTTGCAGTTTTATTCATGGAGTTAGGATTACTTTACAATTATTAATTGTTCTGGATATGACCCTATTTTTAAAATCTCTGCACTACTTGTAAGCTTGAAACTACACATTTCAAAAGAAGTGAATACGAGTATTCCAAATGTGAGATATGTCTTTGTCATAGACAATTTGATTTCTGCTGCAGGTCATTTATAATTTACCTAAGGAGGACTACAATGTACCTAAGTCTTCTTTGTTATCACCCATCTAATATGACACTATTTTACATTACAGCTGATCAATGCAGAACTTAGAGTATTGTAAGGCAATACTGTACTTATTCTTATTATTTCTGTTGTCCCAACAGAAGGAAAACATCAAACTAGATGTGAGTCTTTCTGCCCAATTTCTGTACTCAACATGTACCACAAGATTTAAGCTCAAAATATGACCAAAAAATAATAGAAAAGGTTACTTTAGCTAATAAATTTAGATCAAACCGGATTTATTCAGAACAGAAAAACACAAGATAACCTCAGATCCACCTTCCATATTTTGAAGCATATTGATGATCAAAAGAATAAGTAAGAGTAAGTAAGACAGCACTGAACGCAGACAATGTCCTGCTGTATATGAGTGATTCTAAATAATCATTTGTCAGGTTTGAGGATGTCCTGGCGAAATTCGGTCAGACATTGGGGTATAGATTAAACATAGAAAAAAATGTTATTTGCTATAATTATAACCCAAAAAATGAATTAAGAGAAAAAATTAAGCTAGTTTGCCAAGCTTAATCCCATCCATGAAGTATTTGGAAGTGCATTTATCAAAAGACTTATCAAAGCTATTTAATTCAAACTAAAACCCTTTAGCTCATAAAATAATAGGTGACCTACTGTAGCTGTCTGGAGTCTGCTCCTTCTCTCATTGGTATCTAGAGTGGAAGTTATTAAAAGTCCTACCACGACTATTATACCTGTCAGTCTCTTCTGTAGGAGATCTCTACAGAACACTTAAACAGATGGGATAAATTGGATAGATTGACTCCAGAATTCATTTGGAACAGAAAAAAGCCAAGAATTAAAATTAAAACTCTACAATTAACTAAGGGGAAAGGTGGCCATGTCTAAATTCATATTACCAAGCAGCCTGACTTACAGTAGATATCTAATCTGTCGGTGTGATCGAGATGATAGTGTAAACTGAATTTTTATAGTGCAAAATAACTACTTTATAGCCATTTTATATTGATTTAAAAAATTACATTTATTACCAAACAAACTAAGATATTATCAAAACTGTATATTAATATTGAATATATGAAAAAAAAGTTCAACAGAATATATCAAAATTCATATTCAGGATATATTAAACCCAGCCCTAACATTCAAGTAAACCGGAGAGGAAGGAGTTCACGGTGTTGGAGGCTAAGTGGAGATCAAGTAGCGACTCAATCAAACATATTCTGGTCGTGTTTAAAAATACTGGAAATCTATACCTTTAGTCCTTAATAATATAGTAAACCTAGACATATCGTTTGAATTCTCCATTCTGTATTTGTGTAATTTTACTGTTGATTACTTGGAAGTTAAGGACAGGCATTTACTAGAAATTGTCTTAGTTGAAAAGAAGAAATAAATCACCAGAAAATCGTTTACTAAAAAAACTCAACATCTGAACAATGGATCAATGTTGGCGTGGAGAGGTTTGGGAAATACCGGCAAGCCTGGATTTCGTTTTTAATAATGGTATTTCCATATGTAACCTTGCATCTATGCTGGCATAATGTAAATCGCTAATTACATGAAGATATAACTGTAAAATAAAAACATGAAAGATTACTTTGACATTTTGAATAAAGCCTACCTGTAAATCCTTTCATTGTTTTATAAAAAGTTAGAAAATACTCCACCCTAAAAAAATAGTGCTATGTTTATCAGTAGCTTCTTTAACACATTTTCTGATTTAATCATTTAGTGGGTTTATGGCTAACTACTTTAAAAGATACTGTACGAACTGTGTGTATGGTCAGAAGACATAAGTCATCCTCCCTTATAGGATCGGTAAAATCCTAATGCATTTGCTTTGTGTTAAATTTAAACCTGTTTAAATTTAAAATATATCTAATGTTTATGCACGCAGGTGCAAAATGTGTCTATTAGTGCTTTGACATCCTTTGCACATTTACTGGTTCACCACAAGGCTCTGCTTTTTTTACCCTCCTTTTTATCTTATATACTGATGAACGTTGGAGCAGCATGAAAATCATTATATCAAGCTTGCCGATGACAGTGTATTAGTCTCTCTCCTCTCAAAACCCAGCAGTACTGTACGAAAGGAAAGCATCAGGAACGCCTGCTTTTATTTCACCTTTGACCTTAAGAAATGTTCGGGGAAATATTCCCACTATACTGTAAAAGAGGCGCCGTCCTTCGGATGAGACGTAAAACCGAGGTCCTGACTCTCTGTGGTCATTAAAAATCCCAGGGTGTTTCTCGAAAAGAGTCGGGGTTTAACCCTGGGGTCCTGGCCAAATTTCCCATTGGCCCTTACCAATCACGGCCTCCTAATAATCCCCATCTCTGAACTGGCTTCATTGAGTCATTAACCTTGCTTTGAGTTTCTCTCAGTTTCAGGTTCTCAGAAGTATTTCCTCAGTGTTTCTTGATCTTCAGTTTCCAGTTCCTCAGTTGCCATGGCCACTAATCACCTCAGACCTCAGACCTCAGGCCTCTGCTCTGCCTGCTTCAGCTGCACAACTACTGCCTCGGCTGTTTCCTCAGTCTCGGCTCTGCTTGTCCTCTTCAGTGTTGTCATTGAATATATTATCTTGATTGCCGTGTATCTGGGCTCGTTGACTCTAATTTTTTGCTGAGCCCGTTTCAACACCTCGTCGGGCCTGGCATAAAAAAATGAACCACAGAGTTGCGTGGAGCTGTGCTTGTCCTAAGGGAGGCAATGGGTATGAAACCACAGTGTGAGGATGTTTCCATGTTATAATCAAATACCAGAGCGTGTTGCATCTGGGAGATCGGCGTTGTCTCTCAAAGGTAGACCGAGCCCGGCTGGATTTTCTGTCCCTGTGAGCTGGGTTTACTGACGCAGAGAGAATGCTTGTGTGTCTTCCTGCAGGACAGCCCTCATGGCTGCAGCAGCTGTCTTCCACACTCCCAGCGAGGTGATCGCTCTGGCACCAGGACAGGTGCCTGGGGGCGCTCAGTTTACCACTGGTACCATTTGCCAGTATGTGCCTTCCTCCGTCGTCTGTCAGGGGCAAGCTGACCTGAAGAAATTTCTGACTGGAGAGCCAAAAGCGCTGGGAGTAAGCTACCCCCGTCCCTCTCTCGTCCGCCTCCTCTCCTGCATTCTGCCTCTTTGTCTGCCAGATCCTGTATTACTGTAGTACTAGAAATATGCTGCCCTTTAAGTCTTCTTTTTCAAGTCCTAAACATCGAGGTGCAAGTACAGTAAAGGTAGGAACTGGTGTTCAGGGGTCAGTAGTCGCTTTGCTTCTTAGGGAAAGCGTGGGGAAGATATTTAAGAACTAAGGAATTCATTCTCCTTTCCTTCCGGGTTGGTCGCCTCACGGGGGCGTGTTTGTGAGCGTGTGGTTTTTTCTGCAGGTGGTCCAGATCATGATTGCGGTGGCGCTTGTATTGCTGGGCGGGATCCAGATTGTTGCACTGCAGGTTACAGTTGGAATCCCGGGGATCCCCTTCTGGGGTGCTGTGTTTGTAAGCCCCTTCTTTTCTTTTTGTGCGCATATGAAACATTTTGCAAACCGATGAGAAGGGGGGGGGAAGGCAGACTAAAAGCTATGGAAAGTGAAATCCCACTGATGTTGTCTGTTGAAGGGGGAACAAGACTTTTCCTGGAATTTCTTACAACCTCCAGCTAGGAGCAGATGTGGGCACTAAATATAGGAAAACAGGACTAAAATTTATGATTACTTCACTTTCATTTCTTAATTGACAATCCTTATAGCTAAACAACAACATACTATACATACAGCAATGGAAATCTCCTTTTTGTTGAGAACATCCACTTCCATTCATATCCTCATCAGCCCTGGGATCCCCAGAGGTTTCTATAATCAGTGTTTTTTGTTGTTGTTTTCCTCTCCTGTGGTCACCTGTTGCTATATTGTCAATATCTACATAATTCTGTAAAGTGCTCTGTGGTAAACAATTGAGAAAGGCTCTATAAAAGATTCATTGATTCTAAATTGGAGATGTGGATTCTAATTAACCTACTATGTAGGTAGGGCATTGCCCCCTGAGTATAATCACACTGCTGATAATTGCACTATTATGTTTGGACAGCTGTGTTTCAGCACGAGGACCCTTGGGTTCACTTCATCATTCTAATACATGCGTTTCTAAAAGATGCTCTTGGAAATGTGAAATCTAACCAAAGAAACGTCTTTACCAACAGTACATCGTCTCCGGATCTCTTTCTGTTGCAGCGAGCAACTATCCTAGATCTGCCTTGGTGAGTTCGCCACTGGTTTAGATTAGAATTGAGATATGTGGAGCTGGGTTTGGGCTCCTGCACAGCAGATATCCCTAGTGCAGAGGTTTAGCACCGATGTCACTGCAGGATTGGAGTTTCAAACAGATGTTCAGGAGAATGTCAGATCTCGGTCTCACTTCTGCCTCCTTTAGGAGAAATATCACACATTTGTGACTCGCTTGTGTGTTTCACTTTTTTACATCCTTCTTCTGCCCATCTTCATCCTTGGAGCTGCTCCCTGACTCATTCCTTATGAAATGAGATGGGGTGAGGTTGGAGAAGGACGTCTTCTCCACCCTTAATTAGGATTTGACAGGTCTCCTCCTTCTCCCCATGCAGTACAAGGCTGCCTGGAAGATGAGTTTTACTGATTTATTGGCAAGTGTTAATGTATGTAAAAAAAATAATTGGCAGTTCCAAATTGGATATCTTTGCAGCACAATGACAACTATGGGAAATGAAAATCCTGTTTGTCCAAAATGTAAAACTTCAGTGAGACCCAATAAGCAATTAATTTTTTATCTGTCTCATTGACTATACACACCAGGGGCTTCTACATTTCTGTATGGTAAATTGTACCTGTGCTTCTGAGTATCCACACCTCTGAGACACAACCAAGCTGTATTTTCATTTATAATCCTGTACTTTGAGACTTTTTTCTCATTGTTGTATTCCAGATCAATGGAGCCCTGGCCATGAACATTTTCAGTAGTGTTGTGGCTTGCATCGGCGCAGTCCTCAGTGGAATTAATATTGTTATTCATAAATCTTATGATTACACAAACAGATATAATAGCATGGTAAGAGGACAGCAATGCTGTCTTACTTTGAAATCTCTGAACTGTGAAAGTTGTAAAGGCAATGAGAAAAGGCCACATTTAATTGTAAACAACAAACCCAAAGCAGATTAACCTCTGGTTTCAATTTAATCCTGGCAACAAATGAGAAAAGCAGTTTCGCCAGTTAAAAAGCTTCCAGATTAACATGAACATGAACAAAGGAGGGAAAAAAACTGTCGTGTCACAATGTGAAACACTTGTGAATACATTCTTTGAAGAAAAAAAAAATAAAAATAAGAAGTTAGTCTGGTACTACAGGGACCAGTTTTATTTACGGATGCTGCACATCCTAGTTTATTGGTTTTGGCAAATTTTAGTTTAAGTTATGTTTTTTTATAACAGGGAACCCTACCTACCTCCTTGCCTGCCTTTCTAATAACAGACCTGTCAAATATGCAGACATACAGCAGTGTGTTCTTAATTGTTCTTACAAGCAGTAAAAGTGGACTTTTAAATCATAATCAGGTTTAGGGAAAAACACCCGTTATGTAAAATTTAAGTGGAAAGTACAACATTCAGATAGGAAGAACGACTATGATTGACACTGTGGTTTCAGTTCCTGGGGTGCTGTCTGTGTGGAGTTTGCATGTTCTCCCCATATTTGCATGGGTTTCCTCTCACACTGCAGTGAAATGTCTGCTGCACAACCTGTACTTATTCCCTCATGTGGGTTTCCTGGGAGTTCTCTGGTTTCCTCCCACAGTCCAAAAACAAACTGGTCCTTAATTAGCTGCTGTAAAGCTGGCCCTGCTGTGAGTGTGCCTGTTTGTGCCCTCTGTTGGAATAGTGGCCCGTTTTTGTTAACTAGACAGCGGGGAGGATCAATAAAGCCTAGCAGTAATGTCTGGATAGATAATTCAAAGAACAGAACGTAAATCAAACTAAATACAACAGCAAGGACTTGTTATACCTCTGCCACAGCACAGAGGAGATCTGTTTGACTTATCAGTTTGGTCTGAAGGGAATGTAATACAAACCAAAAACAGACAATGGAACAAAGGCGATTACCTGGAAGCTTAGACCTCACAGCTTGGGCCTAATCGCGGTGATGTTTCTTCAGCTGCAGTGGTCGACAGTGTCCATGTCCATGGGCCTGAGTGCTGCGATGCTGATTCTCTCCATGCTGGAGCTTGCTGTGGCCGTCTCCACAGCTATCTTCTGCTGTAAAGCCACCTGCTGCAGCTCCTCTCCGCCGGTAAGGCCGCCTTAAAAAATACCATTTAACTTGAGCGTTTGAAACCTCGAAAATACCACCTCTGGATTAACATTGATCCCAGTTTCATGGGGGGGGGGAAGGCTGAAGCAGAGTGAGAATCCTATAGATGTCAAGAAGAAAAGAGAGGGGTCAGGACTTAAAGAGCAATTGTCTAGTGCAGCTATTTCAGAACAGAAAGTCCTCGGCATTAGTGTGACAATGGTATTTCAGGAGCAGCCTGTGTTAGTGATGCACATAGAACTACATTTCCCATGTTGCTACTGGGTGGTTTCAGGAATAACTTCCTGTAAATGGTTCCAAATATTGAAAACTCTACATTGACTAAAAAGTGTGAAAAGAAAGTGAAAATCCTTCTTGCATCTGCACCACGAAGGTCAATTTGGGCTCCAACGGCCATTCGCTGGGTTTTGAGCGCCTCGATTCGTTATCTTCCTTGAAGTTACAAACGTAACAGGAAATCGTTTTTTCTTATATTGTGGCCCCAATGCTGTTTTTCAGCACACCATTCTTCTCCAGCAAGTAACCAGCCAGCCGGCTCCAGGACCTGTGCAGAATGTGACCTACCCTCCTCTGGCTCAGTCTCCCTGCCCCAGTGCTCCTCTGATCAACAACGTCCAGAACGCTCCTCCGTCTTACTCCAAGGACTGAGTCCAGCAGAAAGCATCCCTGCCTTGCTGAGCATCTGTGTCTGCAATGTGCTTCTTTTCCTCTAGAGCTCCTGTCCTCTGTATAACATAAGTATGACTTAAAATTTACAGACAACTACTGTACCTACAGTTACTTATCAGATGTTAATTCATAAATGATTTCTTCTGGGTGGGTCTTGAAGGATTTTCGCCTTCAACAGCATGACTGGATAGCTTGTTCCATACTCCTCCTGCCCTTTGTGTAAAGAAGTGCCTCAGATCTACTCGCAAATGTATTTTTAATTGCAGAAGTAGTATTGGCAGCACTGCCATAGCGTCCATCTACTTAAACAGTCTTCGCTGTTGCAAAAACAACTGTAGCTCTGATAATTATTTCTCACATTTATTTTTAGAATTTTCTGTGGATTTCTGGGAAAGAGCTGTTGTTCGCTGGTGGAACTGCACTGTTTTTAATGACCTATTTTCTTGTAATCTTACGGTTTTAAGTTAAATGACCTTACTACCAGTGCAAAATAAAAAAAAAAGGCATTGGGGAGTTTAATTACTGTATATGCTCTAGCTTTTATATACAGAAAGCATGAGAGGAGGACTTTTTTAATTACTTTCATTTTTTTTAATATCATTATATATGAGACAGAGTATCTATATACAGATATAAAAAATGGCTGAGCTACACATCAGTTTTTGTATGTAAAATCATAACAAAAATGATAATATACTGTCTGTAACACCCTGTTATTATTTTTTATTTATGAACATATAAAAACAATGTATCAAAAGGTGCAAACATGTTTTTCAATACAATCCGATCACTTTATTAGCCCTATATAATGTCTTGCATTACAGATTTGTCTTTTCGCAGACCCCAGCTTGCTCTCCATGAGACACACAGACAGGGAGAGAAGCTGGGGGTCAGAGCGCAGGGTCAGCCATTTATACAGGCACCCTGTTGGGGTTAAAGGCCTTGCTCAGGGGCTCCAACAGAGTAGGATTTCTCTGCCAGCCACGGGATTTGAACCGGCAACCTTTCAGCCACAGGTGCAGATCCTTAGCCACAGAGCCACCACCCCAAAGCCTGCGTGTAGATGCCAGGAATGAACCCGAGGCCTCATACGTGCAAAGCATGCACTCTAACACTGAGCCACATCCCCCTAAATGCTCTAAATAGATTGTATTTTGGAACCACATTTAGTGGACTGCAATAGATTCATCTTTTACTTTGCACAGTGCTCTTTTCTTAAGGTCCTCCAATACAAAAAATACAAACAGTAAAAGTTACTATAAGCATCATCTACAGAAGCTTATTAGCGCCACAGAGAAAAACAAATACTGGGTTTATACTAGATAGTATTGTGTTTATATGTGAAAATGACAGTATTGCGTTTATACTAGAAAATTATTGCATTTAACCGCAAATTTAATTTGTAAACAATGTTGCCAACTATATGTATATCTTCATTATACATGCAATAATATTGTCCTGTGCAAAGCAGCGCTGACTTTAACAGAATATTGTTACACTCCCATTCTTGGAAACTATGAAAATAGTAAGCAATGTAGTTCACAAATTATTGCATTTAAACACAATGGTTTTCACATCTAAGAACAATCATTTTCTCGTGGAAACGCAATAATGTTCTCATTTAAATGCAATACTATCTTGTATAAACAAGGTCATTTTTTTGCATACTTACATATCATTTTTATGAAACAAAAGCTGGGTCTGCAGGTTGTATCTGTTGCCCTGTCTTAGACTGTGATTTAGACTACACAGCTGGATAAAAAAGCTAGAATATAAAGATTTACATTTAAAAGGATCCTATGTTTTGAGCAAGGTACCCAGAGTGCTCCAGTAAAATAGCTAGCTATATAAATGGCACCATACCTCAGCAAACTAGTTGGCAACAAAGTCAGACAAAAGAGTGTTCTAAGTGTTATTGTTTCAAAAATTATCTACAGAATGCCTAGCCCTGTACCCAAACAAGCTACAAGCAATAGCATGAAATACATTTCAGAAAAACACAAATAGACCAATTTAAACTACCCTTTTATATCCCAACCTGAAAAACTGTATTTGCAGTGTCAAATATAAAAGCGTTGTGCTGTTTCTCAGATTCAGTAATGCTTTATTCCCTAATAGGCCTACATTCTAACAAGCATAAGACGTCATTCTCTTTCTGAAAACCACTTTCCAGCTTCTACTGGTTGATTACAGAACTTTATACCCTGCAACACGAAGGCCGGTTCTTCCGTTCTTGTGATGACGGATGTGCTACTGCAGAATCCGTAAACACTTTTACGGGTGTTCCAATTGTCCAGTCCAATTCTAGTAATGGCGACAGGACAGACCTAAAGAGGTTTGGCTTGGACTCGCCTGGCTGAGGCTGAGATCAGCGCTGCCAGCACAAAAAAGTGTGCACGAGTGTGAGGTGGTGACCTTTGACCCTTGTAGTTTGACCTCTAACCCCGAAACCTCTGTTCAATGACGCCACTTAACGTGCAAGAGCTGTACCTGTAGTTTAAAGTGACGCTGAATTAGCTTAGAACAGAACAAACTTTTGTTACTTTTGTCTGTTTTTTTTCTTCTTTGGGTATGTATCTTTGGAAGCCGCTGGCATGTTTATTATTTTTATCGCCAGCACCCATATCCCCCGGCAGCTCCCAGCTGGCAGCCCCACTGGAGCTCAGCAGTGTGAGCCTGGCCAGTTCCTGGATGGGAGACTCCTGGGAAAGCTGAGGCTGCTGCTGGAAGAGGTGTTGGTTGACCAGTAGGGGGCGCTCACCCTGCAGTCTGTGTGGGTCCTATTGCCCCAGTATAGTGACAGGGACACTACACTGTAACAAGGCGCCGTCCTTCGGATGAGACGTAAAACCGAGGTCCTGACTCTCTGTGGTCATTAAAAATCCCAGGGCGTTTCTAGAAAAGACTAGGGGTGTTACCCCGGTGTCCTGGCCAAAATTTCCTATTGGCCCTTACCAATCATGGCCTCCTAATAATCCCCATCTCTGAACTGGCTTCATCACTCTGCTCTCCTCCCCACTGAGAGCTGGTGTGTGGGGAGAGGACTGGAGCATCATCCAGGTGGGGCTGCACACTGGTGGGGGTGGAGGGGATCCCCATGACCTGTAAAGAGCTCTGAGTGGAGTGTCCAGAAAAGCGCTATATAAGTGGAACCAATTATTATTATTATTATTATTATTATTATTATTATTATTATTATTATTCTCTAGTTAAAACAAATCAATGTTCACAATTACAGAGGGACACTTGCTCCTCAATCTGAGACAAACACATTTGATTAAATACACACACCATAACTTGCAGATACTGTCAGAGACACACCTAGACCGTCGGCAACAGGTATGAGCAAGCTTTTTGGCGCCACAATTTTATTTCACCTGCCGATCGATTTCTTAATTCAGCATACTGTGCAAAAGTGTGGACTGCTTTCAATTTTCAATTATTTGTTTCCTTTTAACGTTAAAATCCAAGACATACTGTTAATATTAAGTAATTAAAGTGGAAGATAAAGTGGGCAAAAAGTGCTTGAATGATAGTCCCCTCAAAACCTTACATGGATCTCAGCAGGAGAGGTGGGATTACCTAAAGCCTAAGAAAAAAAAAGTGGAATGTCGAATAAGTCTTTTTTTTTTAATCAAACAACAGAGCATTGTGCAATCATGCACTAGACATCAGATGAAATAAAAGAGTAAATAGTCTATATCCATCCATGCAAACTATTGAACGATATTTTCTTTCATCCTGTATTTATGAAGATTGTACATTTGGGGTGATAAATTGATCAATCCAACCGGGGTAAAGTCCAGCTCGTCTCCAACTCTGTTCTTTCGCTGCAACTGAGCTCAAAACCAGAGTTGACCTCCAGCTCGCACCGTTTTAATTAATCCGCACCTGCGTGCTGCCCGCGAGAGGTCGTCTGAGGGGACCCCGCGGGTCGGGTCGTTAATTAGCTGAAGGTGTGCGAGGGGTTGAGCGGTGAAGGGGAAGACAGGAGAGGAGAGACAGCGGTGTCCAGTCCTGGCTCCGGCCGATAGGTCAGTGTCTCTTATTTTGGAGGTGAATGCATTAATGCACTTCTCTGAATTAAGCGTATCTTTTAACTAAAAAATAAATAAAGATGAGAGGTATTTCGCTCTATGGTCACTAGGCGATGCCCGGTGCAAGTGCTTAAACTGCCGTTTCAAACCCTTTCGGTTTCGTTCCGCTGACTGGCTCTGGAGGAGCTACGCAGCCGCCCTGATTAACGCCGATGAGTCTCTCCTGGGACGGTTACGTTGTACCGCCACACACACTCACGCTCTCGAGGTTTTGCACCCAAAGAAAACCGCTTTATTGCAAAACAAGATGCATCTCATTGGCTGTTTTTTTTTTAACTTTTATTAAGTACTGTTATTGGCTTCCAACGCTGTAGCTGTCGGTACAGC